TCTGTAAAAATATATTTGATGTTTTGTAAAAGTAGGTCTAATGCTCTATATTGTGTTGCTAGTTTCACGGATAGCATCAATTTAAGAGTCCATAAAGTACCAATATCAATAATCTCGAAAGTACTAATCAAAATTTCAAAAAATAAAAATGATTAGCGCTATTTGAAAAATTGAACTGTATTTTTTTAAGACTTGAAAAAAATTATTTAAAAAGTAGTTTAGTAAATAAAAATAATAGTGACAATAAATTAAAGTGACAGTAATAAAATTATGCATAAATATATTATGTATAAATTTAATGGGCAACAAAAGAATTAGCATAATTATCTAGGATAAAAAAAAAGTATAACATATACTTCATTCATTATCGAAAATTATGTTCATTTAGTTGAGATAAGGATTTCAACAAAATTAGGATAAACTGTTTTTTTAGTCCCGTAACTGGACCCCTTTATCATTTTAGTCCTGTAAGTGGAGCATGTCGCAAACTAGTCCCATAAGTGAAAAATTTTCGCTGTTTTAGTCCTCCGGCGCCGGAGACGCCCGCGTGGCTCGCCGGAGGTGACGTGTCCGCCAGGTGTCCCGCCAGGTCAGCGACACCTAGCAGACACGTGGATTTATTTATTTTTTTAAATTTTTTTAAATTTTTTTAATTGGATTAAATAAAAAAAATACAAATAAAATTAAAAATAAATTAAAAATAAGTTTTTTACAGCGACACCTGGCGGACACGTCACCTCCGGCGAGCCACGCGGGCATCTCCAGCGCCGGAGGACTAAAACAGCGAAAAATTTTCACTTATGGGACTAGTTTGCGACAGGTTCCACTTACGGGACTAAAATGATAAGGGGGTCCAGTTACGGGACTAAAAATAACCCGTAAGTTGAAAATTTTCGCACATTTAATCATCCGACGTCGGAGATGCCTGCGTGGCATACCGGATGACACATATCCGCATGGTTAGCGCCACTTAGCTTGGCGGATAGTGGATAATTTTTATTTTTAAATTACAAATAAAAAATATAAAAGGATTTAAAAAATATAAAAGGATTTAAAAAATATAAAATTAATATAAATATAATATTTTTTATTTTTATTTTTTCTTTTCTTTTAATTAATTTTTTTATTTTTATCTTTAATTTTAAATTTTAATTTTTTTATTTTTATTTTTAAAAATAAATTATAAAGTAAAAATTATTCACGTGTTCGCTGGGTGGCGTTTTCACTTTACAAAATTATATTTAGTAACCTTAAGTTACAGATTAAAATGATAAAGAGGTTTAGTTACTGAACTAAAAAAATAGTTTACTCATATATTTATAAGGCTAAATTGTATAAAATCCACCCGTTGTTTCATGAAATTGCACCAAATCCCCCATACTTCTAAAACTGCGTCAAACTCCCTCGTGGTTTCATAAATTTTGCGTCTAACCACCTCAGTGGTCCTTATTTAACGGTATTTGATCTAAATGCGCTCAAATTGCGAATAAATTTTAGAATCTCAATTTATAAACCCCTAAAATTACAAATATATATTTTTTTTATATTTACCCTAAAAAATAGTTATTTTTTCTCAGGTTTGAAGAGTTTATTTTTACTATTTATTTAGCCTAAATATATAAAAAATAAATATATTTGTAATTGTATGGGTTTAGAAATTGAGATTCTAATATTTATTCGCAGTTTGAGCGCATTTAGGTCAAATACCGTTAAATAAGGACCGCTGAGGGGGTTAGACGCAAAGTTTATGAAACCACGAGGAAGTTTGACGCAGTTTTAGAAGTACGAGGGATTTGGTGCAATTTCATGAAACCAAAGGTGGATTTTATGCAATTTAGCCTATTTATAATAATAATAATATTTTCTATTTTAAAGTATGTGTTCACTTGATATTTTACTCTAATACATTTTTTCAAAATATTATTCAAAACTATAACATATATTATAAAAGTTAACAAAAAAATCAATAAAAGTATACAAAATATTACTCTCTCCGTCCAGCTAGAAAAATATACATATTTCTATTTTCGGACGTCCAATACAAAGTAAGCATTTCATTAAATACCTTATTTGCTTAAAAAAATATTCTTACTTTACATCACATCATTATTTTTACACAAAAAAGCAAGACAAAAAATATTATTACACTACTTTTAACAATCTACTTTAATTAAAATACTATTATTTCTTAAATACTGCGCAAAAATAAGTGTTTACTTTCTATGTGGACGGAGGGAGTATTTTTTATAATAATTTCACCATTCTATATATCTCAAGAATTTATTAATATAAAACAAACACACATTAAGGGGGTATATTCAATATAGATTTTGTAGGATTTTGTTGGACTTTCAAAATTTGGATGTATTCAATCAAGACTTTTAAAAGTCTTTTAAAATTTAGAGGTATTCAATCCAAACTTTTAAAAGTGTTTTAAAATCTTGAGGTATTCAATATAGACTTTAAGTCTATTGATTTTAATGGAAAATTGTGAAAATTTTGTATAGGAAAGAATCTCTCCTAATCATCAGAGGTTTTGATGGATTCTTAAAATTATTATTATTATTATTATTATTATTATTGTTGTTGTTGTTGTTGTTGTAGTATATATGATCAATAATATGATAATATTTATTACTATTATTATAATTTTTAATAAAAATAATAATTTAAAACTAAAATATATTAACAAATTATTATGAATTTTTTAAAAAAAATATATATTTTTATATTATAAATATAATTTTAAAAATTATTATTATCACAATAAATATGTATTACTGTCGTCTTTTCTTTTCAATTATCGAACACTATATTATCATTACGATAACAATGAAATAGATATTTAAATATATATTTTTTGTTGAATCGTTAATTTATATTTATTTTAATATTTTAATATTTTTTTAAAAATCGTAAATTATATTTTTTTTATTTTATTTATATACGTATTTATTTTTCATGTAAAAAAGTTATATAAATAATAATAATAAATAATAAAGAAATATAAAACTAATTTGATATATTGAATGATAATATAATACTTATAAAATTAAAATTAATAATTTAGAATGGAGTAGTATTACAGATGTTACAATACTTCTACATTATTAATACTTATATATTATTTATTAATATTAAATATTATTTTATTAATAATTATTTATTATATTTATAAAATTTGTTTGTTTGATATAAATTTATATAATTAATATATATACATAAAAAAAAATTATTTTACAATCCTACAAAATCCATATAAATCCATAAAGAATTCAATCAAATCCGAAGAAATCCATCTAAATCAATTACTAAAATCCATCAAACTCAACGTAGACTCTGTAGATTTTCTAAATCCACGTAAATCCATAAACTTTTTAAAATCCAAAAAAATTCATTAAAATCCTAATTAAATACACCCCCGTAAGTGTGTAAAATTAAAACTTTTGCTAAATAAAGCAGTAAAAATTGATTTTTTAGTTTCACCCGTAACTCTTTTATCATTTTAGATCATAGTTAGACTTTATATTATATTTTTTATATAGTTAAAATTTTGGCAGAAATGATCTGCAGACGTCGGAGTCCTAACATAGCACCCTAAACTCTAAATGCAATGGAGATTTTGCGAATGATACGTGGAAAACATTGAGAATCTGACGTGCAATGACAGCAACTCCAGCGCTTGAGGATTAGTTTTGCCATTTTTTTATTATTATGGGAGTAATTAAAAACAATGTCTAGTTATGATCTTAATATGATAAGGAGATTGTGTACAAAATTAAAAAAAAAAATAGTTTTCCCAATAAAGAAATATATATTAGTGTCTTGTGAATTTATTACTCTTCATTTCAACTCAAAATACTATTTTTATTATTTTTGTCCGTCACACTCAAAAATATCAATTTTCAATTATAGTAAAAATAATCACACTAAAACCAAAATACCATTTAATTTTTTTTTATAAACTATAAATCTAAAATTACATATACAAGTAATTTATATATAAAATAAAAAGCGTAAAAATGTTAAAACTATCTTACATATTTCTATTAACCGGTAAAATATTATTATTTTTTAATCTACTATAAAACCTCGTACAACTCTTTGGATTGTGATGAAAGGAGAGTATTGTTTTATATTTAAAAATATATAAATATATTTTACAAGTTCCATTTATTCATATACAAGTGCACTTGATACTATTTTATATATCATCTCTTTATTAATTTATAAAGCATTTTAAACAAAAATGTAAAAAAGATAAAAGAAAAGAAAGACCTACAAAAATATTTATTTAGAGGGGAAACTATTTTTAGTCCCGCACATGACCATTATTATTGCCACTTTAGGACTCTAAATGAACTCTATTCCCAACTAATTTTTTTTACATAAATAGTCATTTGTCACCGGAATTGACACATTGTCGATGATGTGGTTCTCCGGTGCTGATTTGGCGCTCGAAAGATCATACACGTCTGCACCAAATTAGTAAGGGCAAGCCACATCATCACCGACATGTCAATTCTGGCTACGGAGGACTTTTTCTGCAAAAATTGCAAAAATAAAAAAATTAAGGCACAGTTTTCATACATGGGCTGTATTTGTTTTGTGAAAATGATTTGAAGAGATATTTTTTCATATCAAGTATAAAAGATTGTGTAGATAATAAAAAAAATAATAAATGTGTATAATATATTAATATTTTTAGAAAAATTTAAAAAAGAATAAACACATGCTCTATTTAGAATCTGAAAATAATAATAGTAGTTACATGGAGAACTAAAAAAATAATTTATCCTTATTTAAATTATACTCCTCTGTCCCAATTGAAGGTTTATTTTTTTATTTTCTTTTTTAAAGTGGATTAATAAATCGTAGTAGTATTATCTTAGTAATTGTATATATAATAACAGGCTTGTAATTTATATAATTAATATTTGATTATATTAAAAAAAAGAAAGAAATTTTTTTAATGAGAAATACAAAAATAGTAAAAAAAATAAAATAAAATAAAAGAGTCACGTTTAGTTAAAACTATACTATAACAAAAATTATTAAAAATTGAGTGACAAAGATAATATGTGTTATATATTGTACATTTTTTAAATTGTTTCCCTCTGAAATAATGTCAGTTCTTGCAATATTTGTTGGATTGTGAAGTCTAATAACAAACTACCTAGGATTAAGGATATAGTTAGGATTTTTTTAAATAGCAAACAATAAGAAATAAAGATAAGATTAAAGTTTGTTGTGATATGCAAGATTTAGGCCTAAGGTTTCAACCTCATACACATAAATATATATATCTTATATTTTAGTATTTTTTTTCAATTTCTTAATTAAAAGTATAGTGAAATTCTTTCTTTTCAATGACCCAAATATAAGTCAATTTAGATTGAATTGAGTAAACAAATTCCCTTTAGTTTCATATTGTTTCATTTCATATCATTGTGATATTTTCGTAAAAACTAGTATCAGAGCCTCACGGGTGGAAGCCCTCACAATGATGTAAGAAAAGTTTCTCATTAACAAATTCAATAGAGTCGACTACGGATTTTGGAAGATGCACATTAAAGATTATTTCTATGGAATGATTCTATACAAATCCTTGGGAGATATGTACCAGAAGCCATATGTAGCCAATAAAGTTCATCAGATGCGGAAACTCTTCAACCTTAAGATATCAGAGACTAATATCGTTTATGATCACATCAACGAATTCAATATTATCACATCGGATTTAGCCTATGCTAATATTGAATTTGACGATGAGGTTAAATTCCTAGTCTTGTTTTCGAGTCTTCCAGAAAGTTAGGAAGACTTTGCCACAATAATTAGTGTTTCATTAGGAAATGAGAAATTGAAGTTCGATGTCGTTAGACATCTGATTTTGAGCGAGAAAATTCACAGGACAAAAAAGGTTATAGGTTCTATTCTGAGTATGGAAAGTCAAGCTAAAGGTAATTCTAAAAACAAAAATCAAAGTGGACTCAAGTTGAGTAATTGAAATAGACTCAAGAAAGATTTAAACCATATTATGTGTTGGAATTGTTATGAGTCCAAATATTATTGAAATCAATGCAGAACACCGAAAAAAGATAAAAATATAACAATTCAACCAATGCAACAACAGAAGATATAAGGGGTGCTAACAGTGTGAGCACAAGCACTCCTTTAGAGTCATTGTTTTGGATTCTAGGGTTTCGTTTCACTCTTGCAGTAATTTAGAGATCATAGAAAACTAAAGTTCCAAATATTTCGGAATTGTTCATCTTGTGGATAATGAACTGTTGAGGATTATGAGAAAAGAGAATCCCAAGATATATATATATATATAAATAAAAAAAAAATCCATCATGGAAACAAATGGGAATTGCATGACGTCACACACATACCAAGCTTGAAGAGAAATTTGATCTTTGTAAAACAATTAAACGATAAAGATTATTCTACAATGTTTTAATACAAGACATAGAAGATTTTCAAAAGAACCATAATGTTTGCTAGAGGTTAAAAGAAAGTGTCATATATATGACTACAAATATGTTGACTAAGGTTGTACACTTAGAGAAGTTGAAACTATCTCATAGCTTCAACATGTTTGGATAATGAGAATAATACAGTTTTACACTGCAATTGAAATTGAAAGATGAAAGTAAGAATTGCAATCAGTTTTCAATTAAAAGATTGTTGGATTGTAAAGTTTGAAAACAAACAAATAAGAAATAAGAATATAGTTATGATTTGTTAGAATAACAATCAGAAATAGTGTAAAACTAGAGTTATTGTGATATACGATATATAGGCGTAGGATTTCAATTATATATATATATTTTTTATTTCTATTAATTGAAAGACAGTGAAATTTTTTATTTCGCAGCATCCACATACGAGATCAGTTTAGATCGAACCGGGTAACTAGAATCTCTTGAATCTTATATTGTTTTTTTTTTGAATCTTTGTGATATTTTTGTAACAGTATTATAGTATATTTGGTTATTGGATCACATGTAAATTGAAAGTTGGATTAGAGGAGATTTATTAATTAATATTTGATTTACAATCTAATATATATAATTAAAAAAATAAAATACTTCAATCATTCTGTCTCACTTCAATGTACTTATTTGAATAGAAGATTAAAAATAATAATATTTTATTGGTTAGTGAAATCGTAAGATGATTTTAAAAAAATTATCATTTGTATTTTATTTATAAATTAATTTTATGTATAGTAGTATATTTATAATTTACGTAAAAGTTAAGGGTACTTTGTTATTAATGTAAGATTACTTTTATTATAATAGAAAATTTATACTTTTGAGTAGGAAGACGAAAATAGTAAAACTGTTACTTTTTGGGACAAATAAAGTATATATTAAGTATTTTAAAAATTATATCTCATTATATTATATAATATGAATATCATATTGTAAAAAGTAAACTTTTATATAATACAGAATAAATAAATTTTTTTATGTTTAATAGTATAAATTAATTGTATTAAAATAGAGAATTTTGGATTTATATAAAAATATTTATTTATTGAAGAGATAAATAAAAATAAAATTTTTGGAGTGTTTTCGAAACACAAATCAATATTATTTAGTCTATGTGGTTTTTTATAAAAATATATTATTTTTTCTCATAAAGCATTTGCGAGGACTGAATCAACCCAATACTAATATATTATTGTCTACTTTGAGTCGAGCCCACGCGAATTTATTTTTAGACTTTCTTCAAAAGATCTCATACTAGTAGAGTTCCATTTGATACTTAGGTGTGAGTTTTTTTCAAATCTTCTAATGTAGAACTTAGATTTGCATCTAAATAGCATCGTATTAAAATATTATTTAAAAGTAAAATTTAAATAAAAAATACACAATTTCAAATTAAAAACAAACAAACACTTAAATGGGTCCTATTGAAAAAAAAAAGAAAAAACAAACAAACAAACAAAAATTAATAGTATAATAATGCAAGTACTAACCACAGTTATGTTTGGATGTTATGCGATTAATAGTTAAGTAGTTCAAAATACTTATTTTGTTATTCTAGTTCCGATATTGTGTTTAATTTAGGAAATAAGCACTGTGATCATTTTTTCAGAAAGGACAGATGAAATGTCCACATACCATATGACACTCTCGTCTGCAAGTCACGTAAAATCAGGCGTGTCGGGCTTAGGCTAACCTCACAGGCCAATACGAATCCTCCAGCGTAGTTTGTTCTTACTCACGCGCACCTTGGGAGACTTTTTCAAATGGTTACCTATTTTCAAATTACTCTAGAGTTTTTTAGTAGAGCTCTTGAAAATGAATGTACACATTGTTGATATGTGTAGTTTATTCAATTCATTTAATTTCTATTTAACCTTTGATGACATAGCACCGGCTCATCCATACGCGAGAATTGGCTTAGCACCGGCCAAACTCCGGGGTATCACATCCTCCCCCACTTTAGAATACAAAGTCCGTGTTGCAGCTCAAGGATTCGTCAACTGTTAGGCCCTTCAACAGTCAGGTCAACGACTGTGAGCTGTCGCAAATCGACTCTAATACCAACTGTGACACTCCGGCCCGCAAGACACGTAAGACCGAGCGTGTCGGGATTAGACTAGTCTCACAAGTCAACACGAGTCTTTCCACCTTGTCTTTACACTGAGAGATGTCCTAATGAAGCACCCATTCTCAAATTATTTTAGAGAAAACATACTTAACTTTAGAGTTCTTTCAGTAGGGCTCCCGAAAAAAAATATGCAAATTGTTGACATGAGTAGTCTATTCAGTTCACTTAATTTCTATTCAATCTTGAATGGCTTAACATCAGCTCATCCATACATGAGAGTTGGCCTAGCATCGGCCCAACTCCGACGGTATCACATACCATCAATCTTTAGTTCAAATAGCATTGTGCTCTGTGAAATACTACTATCTACTTATTTTTTGAACTGGTGCTCTAGTAAAGTATGTCGGATGCTCTAAAAAATATGTATTGTACTCTATATCAATTTACCTTGTTTTCTATAGAAATATATTAATGTTTTATAGAAATATGTTTAATACTCTATATGGTAAATATTATGCTCTATAATGTGTTGTTAGTTCTCAAAATAACATTGATTCAACAGTCTATAAAACATTGATCAAGAGTCCAGAAAAATATACATTTTGAATATAGTATATGCTATTTGGACTCGCAATCAGTGATCTAAACTATTAAATGATGCACTTTAAAAACTTAAATGATGTTGATTTTTTCAAATCAATACTGTAACAACCGCATTTTTATTCAAGTGCATAAAATGTTATATCATATTAAATATGTTTTTTATTCAATTTTTACCATTTCCAAACTAACCAGGAATACTAGTGTGATTTATAGATTAAAGTGTTAACCGTTCATAGCATAAAAGCTATGGGAAATAAAACCTTAAATATAAAATTATTGTAATAAAATGGCGCCATTGATTTGGTGGAGAAAGGGTACATTGTGGTTGTGATTTTAAATGAAAAATAAAAATAAAAATAAATAAATAAATAATAATAATAATAATAATAATAATAATAATAATAATAATAAAATAAATAAATAAATAAATTATTTTGTATATTTTTTATAAAAATATATTATATTTTTTAATAAAATATTATATCAAAATATTATTTAAATAAAAATTCAAATAAATATTCAATTTCAAATTACAATCAAACAAACTCGAACTTTATTTATAAATATTTGTTGGTATATTGGTGTGAACTATTGACACTCAACATGTTAAATGTGTGATTGTTTAGTAGTTTTTCTATATTATCTTACTCGACATATTTTTTATTTTTTTTATGTCCCATGATAATTTGACAATTTTCTATTTTGGGTAAAATTAACTAAATAACATATATCATCATATAAGAACTATTCAAAAACTCTTTACTTCTATCTCTCTACTCAAAAAGTAAAGATTTTTTTATCTATATTTAAAACTTCACATCTTTTATAAAATTAATTTATATTAATTATAAATAAATAAATAAGTGTATCTTTTATATTATTCTATTATAAAAAAAAAAGAAAAAAATTATTCTCTACAAAATGATATTGTAAATATTCCCTTTATCTCGCTTATCATGTTCACATTTCTATTTTTGTTCATCTCATTTATTTTGTCACTTTCTTGTTTTTTGAAAAATATTATACACTTTAATTTTATTTTAAATTTATAAATTAAAAATTTGAAACTTTAATTAGACTAATTAGTATCTCAATATTAATCTATAATTATTTTTATTTTACGATAATTATTTTTACTCATACATTCTTAATAATTTACTAATTATACTTCTTTTAAATTTTCATGTCTACAGTAAAACGGACATGGTATCCGGGACGGATGGAGTATTTTTTATTGCATTTTAAATTATTTAAATGTATATTCTATTTTTAAAATTATATATATTAAATTTATTTTAAAACTATCAATATTATTAATTACATAAAAATATAATATCATAATTCACTATTATTAATTAATTAAACATGTTATTTTAAATACCATGTTACTAATGAAATGGTTCGATTCAGTGGAGACGATGGAATATTTTGTTTTGAAATATTTTATTATGTGAAGCATAAATAATTGTACGGATAATAAAAAAGTAATATATTATATTAAATATTGATTTATATATATAATATTTTGTATTAACAGAGCCTAAATTAAATTATTAATATTATTATTATTATTTTAAATAATTGTTGATGTTATATTTTGAATATAAAATTATTTTTAGTTATAGTTTTAAAATAAAAATAATTATTTAATTTATATTTTTAGAGAAAAAAAAAGATAAAAAAATCTTGTGAAAATTTTTGTAAAACATAATCATTTGATTTTGATATTTTGTGAAAAATCAACAAATTACACAATTCTCATTTAAAGCAATAATACTCCCCCTTTTCAAAATAATAATTTTAATTTTTTATTTTCGTCCATCTCAAAACAACAGTCTTATTTTCATAAATAATCATAAAATTAAATCTATTTTTCTTTATTATTATACAAATATCGTTATTTTTTACACAAATACATTCAGAAAAATATATATCTCCTTTATACTCATTTTCAATATAATATTATTATTTTTTAAATTTTGTATCGATGACAAATGAGATTATTGTTCCGAAATGGAAGGAATATATAAAAATAATAGTATATTTTAAAACCTATTTATATGTATATAAATTATTTTATTTAACCTTTTACTGTATTTAAAGAAAATTAAAATTTTTAAATTTTAACCGGCATATGATCCTTAGCCTTTTGAAATCAGTAAAGTCTTAGAAACCCTACAAATAAACATACCTGATTTCTCTTTGCTCCCGGTTGGGAGTCCTGATGCACGGGGGAGGAAAACGCCAGTACCGGAGGACCCGGACCCGCCAAGGAAAACTGCATGCATACCCGACCCGACCCGGCTGCTTGGCCTGTATTTCGGATCTGCATTTCGGAGCTGTTTCTTCTGCCGGTGGGTCGGCGGCAGCTTTTTCCGTCTTTCCGGCCGGAAACGGCCTTGATTGGCCGCCGGCGGTTGAGTTTCCGATTCAGGCCCCTGCCGGAAAATGATACCATGAATAATCAAACACATTTAGTTAATAAATATTTCCCCCCAAAAAAAATATACAGTAAGGCTTACCTCAATAATAAACTTCTTGTTCTCATCATTTATTTCTTCTTCTTCTTCTTCAAACATGAACTCAGCCATTTGGCGAGCTAATTCGGCGGCGAACTCGCCGCCGGCGTCTGCCGACGAGCCGAAATCCGGCGTGGTGGAGCCGAAGCAAATAGAGGAGCTTCTAGAAGTGGAGGTGGAGGTCGTGTGGCTATGGGTTTTGAATTGATCGGAATAGAGCAGAGGTTTTTTACTGCCGACAGACGACGCCATAGACACGCCGGCGATGTATGATATATAAAATATATATGTATAGAATAATAAATTAAGATTATTAATTATATATAAATATATATATATATATATATATGTATGTAGAGGTATATGTGGGACTTGTAATGAAAGGGAGGAGGAGCGTTAGCAGGTGGAGCTGCAGTTACAGTTGCATTTGCATTTCAATTTGGATTTGCATTTGCATTTGCATTTTGGGGTGATATGTATTATATGCACGTTTGACTACTATTTAATTATATTTTTATATAGTTGGAATTTGAATGATTTATATAATATTTTAATATAAGAAAAATAATATTATCTCCTTTTACTTAAAAGTATACATATTTTTATTTTAGAACATTCAATTACAATGTAACCATTTTATTAAATACCCTATTTTTTTCCACAAATATATTTACTTTACATCACATCATTACTTTTATACTCAAAAGTAAGGGCAAAAATACCAGTATACTACTTTTAACTACCCACTATAATTAAAATATCATTATTTTTTAAATTTCGCACAAAATATGAACATATATTTCTTAAGCAGACGAAGGGAATAATATATTTCGATTAAAAATTAGATAAACTAGCCCTATTGTTAAGAAAAGTAAGTAAATTTCTCAAATATTTTAAAATGTTTATGTTTAACGCCCTTTCGTCATTATTTAATACTCTCTCCGTCAAGTTAGAAAGTATACATATTTCTATTTTGAGACATCTAATTACAAATTAATCATTTCATTAAATACCCCATTTTTTTCCACAAATACCCTTACTTTACATCACATCATTACTTTTATACCAAAAAAATAAGGGCAAAAATGTCATTTCATTACTTTTACCTACACACTATAATTAAAATATTATTATTCCTTAATCTCCATGCCAAAAGTAAATGTATACTTTTAACTTGGACGGTGGGAGTAGTTATTATAAGTAAAATTCTCAAATATTTTAAAATTTTTATGTTTAACACTCTTTTGTCATTATTTAATAGTCATTATAAATAAAATTCTCAAATATTTTAAAATTTTTATGTTTAACACTCTTTTGTCATTATTTAATAGTCATTATAAATAAAATTCTCAAATATTTTAAAATTTTTATGTTTAACAGCCTTTGGTCATTATTTAATAGTGACTATACTATATAGTCTTAATTTAAAAGATAATTCAAAAATTCTATAACTACAAAATCACAGCTAGCAAAATGATGAAAGTAGATTAAATTTATAAAACTACCAAAAAATCTAATACTCCCTCCGTTTCAGAACTATAGTCTTAATTGAATTGAGTACGAGATTTAAGGAATATTGATATTATATTGGTAGTTGGTAAAAAGTATAGTTAAAAGACCTTTTTGCCATTGTAAATGTATTAGTGTAAAAAGTAGTGGCAATTGTGTAACCAAAATGAAAAAGTAGGGGTAGTTTTATGGTGATATGGTTATTTATGGAAATAAGACTATTGTTTTGGAACGGACAAAAATGGTAAATAAGACTATTGTATTGGGACGGAAGGAATACAATTTTAAAAGGAGAAGGATTTTTGCATAATTTTTATAAACTACAAATGAATTTTAAATGGTGATATTTTTTTCAATTAAATTTGATATTAATTGTAAATTTGCACCTAATTATTTAAATTTTCTATAAATAAAAAAGTTAAAATTCTTAAATAAATAAATAATTTATCACCATTCATTTAATAATTTTCGAAGACTAACTGTTAACTTATAAATTTTTACAAAAAAATACAAAATAAAGTATTGAATAATTATTTATTTATTTCTTTTAATCAAATAATACTATTTAAAATATGTTACTCTTTTTATTTACTAAGGTAATTAAATGTATATTTACAACAAAATATCAAACGCACTTAAAAAAAATTACAAATTACTACGGAAAAATTTTGTCACAACCGACAAAATTTCCGTCACAATTTTCAATTATAACGGAATTTGCATCCAACTGAAAATTGTAGTAAATATTATTGTAGTAATCCAATGTGACAACTAAGATTTCCGTTACAGAAAATTGCCACGTAATTAATGACTGTTATTTCCGTTGCAACATTTTGCATTGCAAGAAAATATAATTGTTGTTGATTCCGTTGTATTTTTTTGCAACACATTTTTCAAGATTTATATATGTTGCAAATTCTGTCACAAATACATAAAAAAAATTACGAGAAAATATAAGTATTGCTAATTCCGTCGCAATTTCTATAGCAGACCATTTATTCAATTTGTTTCTGCTCATTTTTTTTTTTCGATTTTTCCAAAACCTATATGAAAAATATATATTCAATCCTCCAAAATCAACCCAATTTAATTATTTGATTAATATCTCTCATCAAAGACACAAGAACTAACTAAAATAATATAGAATTTTTAAACCTAAAAAGTGTCTAATACACTATAGATATAATGTATTTATTATCAGTACCATAAGTAATAAATACCAGACAAATGTATAAATCTGTTTTCATCCGCCATAATATCATAAAAAACAACTAAAGTCATAACTATAAAAAGCATATAATAATAAAACATCATGATATTGGAGCACTACCACCATCTTAATCGGGGTCGAACCTATAAATGAATGGTGCTCTCATACGCCACCTATAAATGAATGGTGCTCTCATACGCCGTAATTGCTCTATAATGTGCAAGATCAAATTGTATATGACTTGTTGGTTCTCCATATTTGTAGCTCACTGCATCATTAAAATATCATTATAAATATATATAGCAAAAAATAAAAATATATTAATATTGCATACAGAAAATTCTATCCAAGAGACTTGAATTTTTTAATTATTTCTTAATAATAGAAATTCTATATAAGCAATATTTCAATGTACAAGCACTCAAAAAAATGAGAGAAAAACTCATAATTGATATAATATTATAATAATTTTTTCACATTTTTGTTTGAATTTTTTTTTTTTTTTTTTTTTTTATGAGAAGCAATATTATTTTTTCAATGCATAATAATATCTAAACATAATTTTGTAGAATAAGTCAAATGATAAATCATACTGCATGTGTCATTCATAATACTTAACTACTCATTTAAAATGATTAAATTATTATTTTTAAGGTGTTTGTTGCACTATTCAACTACAACATTTACAATTCCAATCATATTCAATTTTGTGCTTAAAATTATCAAATATTTTTAAGAAATCTTCAAGATTAAATATTAATATGGTATGATGAGATTGAAATCAAATTCTGACAATTAAGAATGAAAACAATTTATTAAAAGAGACAAAGAATTAAAGGATAATTTGGTTATATTATAGTAATATAACTCAACATCTACATCCATAAATCCTAATAACAAGCAATTTCGGGGTGTTGGATGATCAATACTTAAATGCATCTGAAAATCGCTGCCCTTAGCCCCTTACATTGGCAAAAACCCCTTACATTGGCAAAAATGATCAGTAAAAAATAACTCCTCATATTCAGAACAATGCTAGCATAATGCAAATCTGCTTCTCTATACTACTATGTTTAAAGTTTCTAAGAATTGGTATCTCTAGAAAGACAATAAAATAAGCAAACAAAAGTGGAATATAGTTATAATCATCTGAATATAACTATCGAGCAATAAAACATTTTACCTGATGAAGCAAGGCAAGTGTGGAATTGTACAAGTTCAACTCTAGACTGAACTGCTTCTTGTACTTCATTACTTCATCTTTTGGCTATCTCTGGATTTGTCTGTTCCAACAATTGTAGTAGTATTAACATGACATATTCACTCCAACTAAAAAAAAGCATTTATCCAAAAATAAGGAGTACCTGTAGCAGATGAATACCACTCACAAGGGTAGCACTGTAAACAACATAATTTTTGTAAACTATAGCCTATTTTAGGTATCTCTCCATTTGGTTCAAAAGTGTTTCATCAGTAATTCGGCAAAGTACACCAATAGCATTTCCTTAATACATATCAATGCAGTTATTGATGTTCTTCGTAAGGGAGCTAGTGACAATTATAACTTGTAAAGTCAAATATAAAATTTGATTCTTCACCTGTAGTAGAAAATTGAAGAATTCAGAGGTACAAGATGTGCAAAGATACCTTATCTGTAGAAGGAGAAAGCTCTTTTATCATCAGATATACCATTCTTTGTAGCGAATTTGAATTAAACAAAACAATGTTGATCCTGTGACCAAATTTCTGGAAGTAGTAGCCTGCAAGAAATGAGAAGTCTATTTACCAACATAATTCAATATATTTAATCTTGCAAATCGGAAGAACTGACATTCAAGAACATTAGCTCCAAATGTAGCAGATGACTCCATTCCAAAACGGCTCAGATATGTTCCATAACTTAATCCACTACTCTTTAAATTTGCCTACCAAATTAAAATACACAAAAAAGTTATAACACAAGCTCCAAATATAGCATATGGCTCCATTCCATTATAACTTCACTAATTCCATCGGGATAAATATATATATATATATATATGACCCTTTTGGATAAACTTGGATATTGACTGACCATATTAGATGCTGCAGCAGATACCTCTGCATGCATGGGCTGAGAGAATTTGCAGCATCTCTCCCTGTGCTTCAACTTCGCTAAGAGAACTTTGTACGGACCAACCATTGGAGAGTGAATAATGCATAGTTACAAAGCCAGGGTTCATAGAGGTCATGCTGCAATCAAATATAAAAAGTATAGAATCATTTTCATTATTATGATAATTTATCTAAGAAATTGGGCATATACAACATAACTCATCCTTGAAAGCAAAAACGAACAGCTGACCGGTGTAGGCAGATTATGAGCATGGTGATCTCTATGTTAAATACAATGTCCACAAAAGATGAAATGACTGCAAAGCAAATAATAAAGATAGTTGAATGAAAGTACAAACACAAAGCAACAACAACATCTGGCATTTGCAATTAACTTTGAAAGAAAACTAAACAACCATGTCATTCAATTAACAACACAATGGAAGATAAAACAACAATGATTGCACCGAACAACACATTCAGCGTCACATTTCCACAACAAATCGACACTTAGCTCGAGAATTTCAGTTTTAATGTCCAAGTGTTGCACTAGATCCTAAATACTATATAAAATCAAAAATTATGGATTTTTGCTCACCCCACTGCCAATTTATAATGGATTTC